ATTCCTACACGTAACCGATTTGTTTACCTAGCTAGGCTTTAGGTGAAGCGTATAAATTTGATTTAATACGCGAATCATTCATAAATATTAACGGAAATGAGCTTCATAAACTGGTCGATGCGGTAGGTGCTGTGTCTTATTCACTCAGTCACTAACTATTTCTCACCTTTGGCGGGTCGTTTGATTTTGTAGGTCGTTGATTCAATAAAATACCTGAATGCTACGTGCTGAATGGGTAAACAAATGCTGCCTCCAATTGGACTTCAATTCGGGCGTAAAATACAACGTAGCAAAGATATATACTATGTGTGCGTACATATATTTATAGTATATTATGACACGTTTATCGTGTATCGCATACAAAATCAAATCGAAAGATATATATCGATATTGCGTAATTTCAAATTACATTCGGCATTTGCCGGCAGCTGTTCCATCTATTTGTTTTCCTATATTCGACTGTTGCCTTGAGGCGTGACGGCGCCCATTTAAATGTCAAAGTAGCCGCCAAAATGTCAGACGGACTACGCTCCAAAAGCAACAACAATAGCAGAAACAACAACAAATAGAATAGAATGAGTAAACAAATTTGGAATCAAACAGAACAAATCAAAGTACGATTCAATTGTTTGCTTCGCATAGCATTAGCATTAGCTTTTGATTTAGTTATAGTTTACGTTTGCATTGGAATGCTATAAGTGAGTTCAACATTGAATGGCCCGAAAGGGCTGCTTGTGTATGGCTGGAAACAACTATTAGTCGATCAAGTATCGTTCAATAGATAAAACTGCTAAATGATATGGAGTAGGAGTAGGAACAGCAGGAAAATTAAGAGTAGGAGCAGAAATAGCAGTAGGAGTAAGCGTAGGAGTAGTAAAAGTAGTAGGTGTTGGTATGGGAAAACAGCAAGAAGGGGAGTAGAATTTGGAGTAGGCGTGAGTGCGAGTAAGATTAGGAGTCTTTATTACTAGTAGTAGCAGTATGTATAGGAAGAGGCATAAGAAAAGTAGTAGATATACTGCCAAAATTAGTATGACACTCATACTTGTCATACTACTTTTGGTAGTATTTATACTGATAGATAAGAAAAGTAGTAGAAATACTACCAAAAGTAGTATGACACTCATACTTGTCATACTACTTTTGGTATTATTTCTTTTCTTATAAATAATAAAGGGATCAGCAAAAGTAGGATTAGTTATACAAAGGGTAGTATAGAAAGGGAGTAGAAGCAGTACTCTGAGTAGGAGTTCGAATAGTAATAGGAAGTTGATCCAGACTTATAGAAATAGTAGTATATGTATAATAATGTATAATATGTATATACGACCTCCAGTAAAACTACTATCAATTGCCATTCAACGCACAAAAAATGTAAATTTTAAACATTTTGGTAAACAAATTAAATTAATGTATTGAAAGTTAAGGCACAAATTAAGCATAAATCTGTGGGAGATACGCTATTGTTAGATCTATTGTTAGGTCTATCTCGTGTGGGCTCAACTATAACAAATTGAAGTAACTGATGTGTGTGGTGGAAGTGATGAAAGACTTTTCAGCTAGTGTAGACGGGACGACTACGTTTAATACTCTCAATAAAAATTATTAAAAATAGGGGCGTGACATCGAATCACCAATAATCGAACTATGGCGATTTGCTATGCCCATGAAGTCAGCTGCACAGTGGAACTAGCTCTAGCATTTCACTCATTCATAAAATGTTTCGAATTGAATTGAACGTCAGTTGCATTGCATTTTTTGTTTGTTCCATTGATTTCCGTTGACACGTTACGCATAATTAAACGCTGTCTGTCTGGAGGCAAGCCCCAAAAACAACAACAACAACAACAACAAAATTTAGTGAGACAAAAAACAAGCAATTGACCCACATAGTGAACGACGAGGCGAGAGACAAAAAACAACAATATTAATAATAAACATTGCAACTGCAATTACGAAGCTACCCACAGAGGTGCGAAAAAGATGTTTGGCAATCGAACAAAACTTGCAGCTTGCAAAAAGAAGCTGTTTGAAAAGACTGCTAACAAGGGAGAGAGAGAGAGAGATAGAGAGAGAGACAGACGAGGTCTAATTGGGCTTTGCCTTTTGAACCTATCTCATAATCAAATTTCTATTTTCATTTGGGCTTGCCTAATTACGAGTGAACAGTGCGAGGCGCGGAACCGAGCTTAGATTTGCCGCTGTGTGTGTGTGCGTGCGTGTGCGTGTCTGTGTCTGTGTTTGCGTGTGCGTGTGCAATGCGTCATCATCATGTTACTTCAGTTTGTAGATTAATATTTTTCTTTTGTTTCACTGTTTTTGTTAGCTTTGTCTTTTTTTTTTTACTATAGGCGCCAGCTAGATTTTAATAGCTGTTGGTGTTTTAGCTTTGACATTGTTTAGTTAGTTTACATGTAAAAATAGCCAAACAAAGGCTAGATTTTGATAGGCCAATCATTAGCTGTAATGCTATTATATAAAGTTAGATATTTTTTTAAAATATCATTTTTAATTCATATTTGAGTTTTATTCAGACAGCTAAACCTGAACCCTTGGCTTTATGAAATACTCTGACCTACTCATTAATATTTAAAATATATTTTCTTTTAAATATATTTTCTTTTAAATCCCTCTATCTACGCTCCTCTACTCCTCTGTTTACATGTGTTGTTCGGTTCGCAGTTAAACAGTGCATCTATTCTTCACACATTATTGATTAGCTCGCGTCAGAGCATTTTACATTTAGAGTCCATAAATTCTACTTAGGTTAAACAACTTGTAAGAGCTTTGGCCTTCAAATGGCTTTCGTGTTGTTGTTGTTGTTGTTGTTTTGGTTTTTGATTTTGAGAGATCGTTTTTTAAATTTACTTTGCGTAAAGTTTTGTTTTGAAATGTTACAGATGCTTGGCGCTGGCGAGCGCGCACGCCCATCTGCCCGGCCCTCGTTATCGGCTATCGGGGCTATGGAGCTCTCTGGGGGCGTAATCCAAACGCTGTCTTTCCCAGTTTTCGGCCGGCTGGTCGCTCGGTTGGCTCCGTGCTGGTGCTGGTGGTGGTGATGTAATTACTGGCTGACAACTTTAACAACCGGTTTAAGCAATGCCCAACCGCCTGTTAAACACACTGCATAAACATTTGTACTATTCGTAAAGTTACAAATCTCGTTTGAGTTCTGCGCATTTGCATGCCAGCGGCAGCTGTAAACGAATCTTTTTATAATACCCTATAACATTTCTTTGTTTGTTTATGATGTGATTGTCCAAAGATTTCTTGGAACACAATCGTAACTTTTGGAGCTAAGAAAAAACTGTGGAAATGCTTTATAATCTACCTCATGGGAATCTTCACTTTTTGCACTCCCCTACAGCTTGTTTTACAGGGTATATGGAGCCGTACACTTGGCTGCTCAGCTCACTTTCCATTTCCACACAGCTGTCTTATTGTCGCAACACAAAGAATCAAGATCTTTCACTTAAGAGCTGCTGGAAATTGCATTCATATCAACGACAATGCAGACGACGCTTTCTACGTGGGTGCAATCCATCCATCCATCCATCCATCCAGCAATCTAATTCTCTGCATTCCAACAGCATCCTCATACTCATATGAATTATGTGATTACAAAGCAATTTGTTGGGTTTAATGCACTGTGCGGGATTACTTAGTGACTGCATTAAGCCCCATCCTAATTTCTCTGCTTTTTGTTTTGCTGCAGATGCTTATCACGTTGTCAGCAACAACAACGACAACAACAACGACAACAACAACAACAACAGCAACATACATTTTACACATTGCCAATGATTAAAGCGATAACATTGACAATTACGTTGACAGTTAATTTAAATTTATGTCTAGGGCAGCAGCCATACGCATATATTATATTCTAATTGTTGTTGCTGAAAATGCTCATCGCTATTTTACGCCGGCATAGAGTATGCTGGGGATACTTAAATATTAGAGGAGATGTGTTATGTCGTAAAAAATTTTAATAAATATTTTTTATATATAACAAGAATAGCGTATGCTTGGGTCATTAAAATATGGTATATATTTATATTATTTGATACCTTTTTCATATTCCTATGTATAAATCCCTCATAATTCTCATATTTGTCTATCCACCTATTGGTTTGGTCTATAGTAACTCGAGTTTTCTTTAGCTTTGCTTGATGGAATTTTCCTCAGGAGTTACTTAGGCAGTCAAGCTATCATATAAGTCAAAGTTTGACACAGGTTTATAATATATTGCTGAGCATTATGCAGCTGAGCATATAACTGGCATTCAGTTGAATCGTTGCACTACAATATAATTTATTAACAGTCGATTTCTCGCATATTGTAAGAGTCAGACAATCATAATCTAATCTATATCTCTATTATGTATTTTGTTTTTCTTTTCATACCATTTTCAAAGAGTATTTCAACTTTTTGTGTGCTTGGAGAAAGCTTTTCGTATTCGTAACATGTTATTATGGGCAGTGTTTCATTTCAGTTCAACGGTGCGAATTAATGTTGCTCTGGCCTATCGCCTATTGACACTTGTTTAGTTTTTGACACCCCGTTAGCATTGTCTGCAGTTATGTTAACATGTATATATGTATGTACATATACATGTACATGTTTACATGTAGAACATTGTTAAGTATTTCAATCGATGCCATGTGCGCTGGGAACTGGCACAACATTCAATTGATAGCGTTGATTAGCATTTTGAATTGTTGCATTGATGGGCCCAGGGGTATTCCTCAATAAGAAATCATAGATGACATATTTCTGAGTAGTGTATTCGCTCCGTCGTCTCAGTCTGTCTTGTGTGTGTTGTTTGTTTATCATCGACTCTAGCTGCGGTTGCATTTGGCAACATTGACACTCTGTTGAACCGCAAGGCAAGCTGCTCGGTCTGCTGTCTACTGAGAGCTGGGGACATGCTAGAGGAAATATTAGCAATTACTTTTCTGCCTATACTTAACTTGTTGTTTGTTTTTCCCTCTTTGCAGATATACACTAAACGACAGGAATAAATAGATTTTAGATTTACAATGGGCTTCAAAGGCGGAAGCAGTCCGCGCATCAACAAAACGTTGATATCGCTGAAGCTCGTCGTTTTTCTCATCATAAGCGGTAAGTGGAGAATTGAGAGAGTGTGAGAGAAAGTTGGCGATTTATTTTAATGCTCTACTCTTACTTTCGCAGGTCTCACAGCGTTGCACATTTTGCATGCGACGAAGCCGTTGCTGTTGGGTCTGAACTTCTCGGAGTACCGCACAATCACAATCACAGCTGCATTTGTTTCGATACTGGGCCCAGTGATAGCCGGTCCTTGGGCCGATCGCTTGGCTGCCCGCAATCCCAATGGATTCGGACGTACGCTGCGTCGCCTGACCGCTGTCTTTCTGCTGCTGACAGCTCTGATCTATGCCATGCTCTTCTTCGTGCCAGAGGTGGCGCGCGAACCGGCCGTTGAGCCGGACGTGAACTTTGGCTGCGATGCCAATGGCGCGTTCATATTCCAGAAGCTCTGCAGCAACGGCACCTGCCACAACTGGGAGCACAAGAAGGGCAGCGTCAAGCTGACCCACTGCACCTACAGCTGCCAGAATCCCAACTACCATGAGAACATGTATCAGTTCTGGCTAGGCGAACTGCCCACAGCGGCGCCCTCCACCGAGCAGAGCTCCGAGTTCGATTACGATCAGGATGATCTGGCGAGTGCAACCACGGAAAGGTACAGACCTAGGAGAGACGTGAACATTGCTGACTTGGCTGCAGACAGCGCCGGAGTGGAGCAGATCAGCTCGGAGGTGCTGCGCACCAAGCGCCAAGTGAAGAGCGCACCCAAGAAGGTCTATGTGGAGCCACCGCATCTATGTATAACGGAACGCAACGAGCAGGGCGAGAATATAGTGAAGCACTGCCATGTGTACACCCAGGATACGCCCAACATTGTGGTGCAGGCGGATATGGGTCCTGCCATGGACGAGCCCAAGACCAATGAAACCATCGGCTGGTGTCAATATCCACTGGGTGAGTTGGAGAGCTACAGGGGGAGACAGAGATTGTTATACAAAATTTCGTCTTTCGCTATTATTATCACTTTTATTTGAATTTTTATTAAAGTTTTCTCTTGCCTTTTCAGCGGGCATTCAGTGCAATATTCCACCACAGCAGGTGAAATACATGAAGGATCTGACAAATGGCACCGAGTGCAAGCCCATCATTGAGTGCATGATTGTGGATGCATACGACGGCAAGGACAGTGTTCTAGCCGACAGCGAATGCATCACGGTAAGCTGAGAGACTTTCATTCAGGATTTAATCAATTTAAACTCATCAATATTCCATTTATAGACCACTGGCAATGTGGACGATACTCTGATTGGCTATCTGATCATTCGCCTGCTGGGCGATGTCTTCGCCTTGGCTGCCCTGACCCTGCTCAACACGGCGATCGTGATTGCAGTGCGTGAAACGTCGGAGGGTCGCGGCGAGGTCTGCCGCCAGTATGTGTGGGGTGCCATTGGCTATGTGATACTCTTCTCGCCGCTGGACTTGCTCTTCAAGGAGCATCAGCCCAATCATGATGCCGCTCTGGCTGCCCTGATCATATTGATCGTCTGCTTTGTGCTCGGCGCCGTGGTGCTGCTGAGCGCCTCTCAAATGCCGCTCAGTCCACCCGAGTGGTGGTGGCACACCAAGACCGGCATGCTGGTGGTGCCCATGTCCGCCATTCGTCGCTATAGTCCCGAAATTGCGGTGCTCACGCTGGTGGCCATCCTCTTCGGCACCTTCTGGAGCAGCGTGCACAGCTTTCTCTTCTGGACCTTCACGGACGTCAATGCCATTTGCTACTCGGGCATTATTCTGATCTTGGTGCTGTTCTTCAATGTGGACAAGTTTATCGAGTATTGTGGACACTCGAACATCTTCATTGCCGGCTTTGCCATCTTTGTCATCCGCTTCACGGCACTCAGCGATGCTCAGACCAATTGGCTAACTGTCGTCATGGAGACCATCGAGCCCGCTGTCATTGGCCTGATCTGGATTACGATCATACTATATATGCGACACGCTATGCCACGCAAGCTGACCGCAACGGGGCAGGCCATCGCTGTGCTGGCCTTCTTTGGTTTAGGTGAGTCTTCAGAGATGCTATTTCCACATATATACTAATCCTTCATCTCTCTTCCAGGCAAGGGCTTTGGCGCCTTGATTGGCCTGGCTCGCGAGGAGAAGCATCCGAAGCTGCCCTACTGGACCTGCACCTACCAATGGCTGGCCGTCGTGGCCTGCATCATAGCCTTCGTCTACTTTGTGATCTACAATCTGATATTGGCACCACGTTGCACCGCCAAGCCGCAGCATTCGGAGGAGCTGATCTCGGGCTCGGCGTCGCAGAACTTTGGCACAAACGGAACCGCCAGCAATGGCAATGGGGCCGGCAATGGTGCTGGCATTGGTCCAGGTGCTGGGGCCGCTCTCAATGGCAATGGCAATGCCAATGGCAGCTACTCACCGCTGAGGGTCTACCACAACGAGCGGGGGAAGAAGGGTCAATTTAGATACTAAATAGTTTACAAAGGCAATGCGATTCGATTCGCAGCAGCGAAAAGCGTTTTTCGATTTAATTTTTAATTGTGTATGGCGCACATATTTTACTCCACTTCATGGGGATATTTTTGCTAAGTGTATACACTGAGAAGAACAAAAACAAAAACGAAAACCTGGAGCAACAAGTGAGCTCCCTTTTAATATATATAGAACTTCTTTAATTTGTTATTTAATGCAAACTAAGCGTGTTCGTAATATTAATTTTTATGTCTAAACAAACAATTATTTAGAATGAAAGCTGCCGCCCCGCCCTGAACCGCCCGACCCGCCTTTCTACCGCCCTCCGCACACGCTCTGTCTGATATGAAGAGCTAATTCTGATGAGGTTTCACACTGAAGGCGAACCACAATTCAAATCAAACCTTTGCGTGATTTTACTAAGCATACGAATTGCATACAAATACATATACATATATACCGCATAAATACATACATACACACATGAATGTGAACAATAATAAGAAACAGAAATGTAATTATACCAAAATAAAATTAATGATAATTTTATGTTTTGCAATTAAGTGAAATAATCATAATGGAGTTTTCTTTTGCGATTGTGATTTAAATGCCGCTGCTTCCGTTGAGTAGTCGTAGTCTTATGTGTGACAAGTTGGGGTCAAGTTAGAAAAGATAATATTTAATGTGAGGTTTTCAGATGAAAGTAACTTGAAAAGTTTTGGATTTAAATTTATTACGAATAGAGCTTTGGGATACTCATACGAATATTCACATTCTATTCTACACACTTCCACCACTTTGGCATACACCCTATAAATAGGGAAAGTACCGAACTTTCCACACAGAAGCTCTTCAAAGCCCTCAAAAGCAGGCCATAAAACACACTCTCCCGCAGCTTAGCTTTAGCAGCAACCAATTAGCAAAGACAACAACCAAGATAAAAAGCTCTCAGTGAGGTCTCGCATTCATAACAGCTCTTTGGCACATTCACAATTTATGAATGAGATTTACTCAGCACTTGGCCGGCTCTATTCCGCAGGGGGACATCGAGACAGCGCAGTTGGCAAACGATTGCCATTTGACCCTATAATATATGTTGGCTAATAGCTAAAGAGACAAGAGCAGAGCAGCAACTCGATATTGTGCTATGGCTATAATGCGGCTCAGCAGAGACTACCACTAAATGATAGTAAATAAACACAAACCCATACACTCACAGACACACACACATGCATACATACACTCTCTTATATTCACACTAGTTTATTCACGTAAAAAGTGCGGATTTTATGTTGCATTCCCATACATGGAGCGCAGCAAATTTTGCTTTAGCTTGGCTTGGCTGCTTCTTAAAACTGTCTAGCAGTCTTTCGTTGACATTATATGCACACATCCACACACATGCATATATAAGTACTCTTTGTGTGCGTTGAAGTGACAGTAAGCCACTTAAGACAGCGCGCATTTTATTAGTTCCTTTATTGATATTTTCACAGCAACACAATTATGAGTGCCTGCATGAGTAAGTGTGAGTGTGTACGTGTGCGTGGGTGTACGTGTAATGAGTGTTTGCGTGTGTCAAGTCAGCTTAATCATCTACAAGCTATATATAGCTATATCATCATTGAGCCCATAAATGAAGCAAAAATAATTTTAGCAAGTAAATATCATGTTAGTTTTTATATGGTTATACAAAAATATAGGCCATAATCAATTCAAAAAATATTTTAAAAATTTATTGGTACGACGAGCTAAACTAGTATTAAATCTATGCTCAAAATTCTTTACTTAATATTTATTTAATTTTATCCAGAAATCCCTCATTTAACTAGTAAAGTCAAAGTTCTTTCTATAATATATAAAAATAATTTAAAATAATATTAACTGCTTTTTATAACTCCTATGTCAAAAATGGAAAAAAAATTTTTAACTGAAATAAAATCCTCCTTAGTAAATAAATTAACCCCGAGCAGTTTTGCCAGCGTTACTGAGTACCACATGTCGTATGCATAATAAACCAAAGCCGCAACATTTATATAGATTTCTGTTTGGATTTTGTGTTAAGGGTTAGAGCTAAGGCCTGGTGTGCGTGTGTGTGTGGGTTGCCAGTCAAAGTCTTGGCAATTAGGCAAGAGCTGTGGTGCAAACAAAAAAAATTGTGACTGGCTGAAAAAGTAGCAGGAAACGGGAGATGGAGCAGAAGCTCTCCATTTTGCGTGCTGGGTAGACAGTGAAATTATTATCACTTGGCACCTAACAGAGACGGCCAGAAGAGGGGCGCGACGAGTCAGAGAGAGGGAGAGAGTGAGAGAGAGAGAGAGCGGTATGTAGCTGAGCCCGACCAGAAACAGGAACAGGAACAGTCGAAGCGTTGCTGCATTTTGTGAGCGCTTTTGCCCCTATGAAAAATAGCTGTAATTTGCACAGCATAAAAATATAGGAATATGCAGTCAAGGGTGAGGGAGGTGGAGATGGCTTGGAGCCTGTTGGCGACATACTCACACACACACACACACACGCACACACAGTGCTAACCATAAGTTAACTGAGATCCACACAACCACATGGCCACATGGTTCCATATGCAGGCGACAGTAACCGGCTAAGGCGGCGGCAGGGTGAGAATAGAATGGGCGTGGGGAAGAAGGGTGGGTGGGGGTGGTTTGATGAGTGGTTGGGCTGGCTTGGAGGTTGCGTCGGCTGCAAAGCACTTGTGAAAAATAACTTTGCACATCGTTGGATTTGGTGTGCAATTTTCTCGTTCTTCTGCATCGTCGCCAATCCCCTCCGTGCCCCGTCCCACCACTCGCCGCCCCTGCCATCCAGCCAGAGCGCTTACTTTTAATTTTGTTTGTAAAGAAAACTCATTTTCATCATTTTGAAGTTGCAACTGCGCTTGTCTTTTGTAAGGCGCTGCTCCTGCTCATGCTGCTCCTGCTTCTGCTGCTGCTGCTTCTGCTTGCAAGGAAGAACACAAAAAAATTCGAGAAAAAAAAACATGAGCTACGAGTGAAATACTCTCTGAAAACTGCCGCTTCATGTAATTATTTTGATCATTTGCATGGCTGCCACAGAGCCCGCAACATGCAACATGCAACATGCTAACGACTTTGTTCTGCCATCTCTTGCAAACAAAAAGAAAACATATTTTTCCTGTTAAAGCTGAGGCCGTAATTCGTTTCCCCCTTAACTTTAATACAGTTCAATTGTATGCGAAGTAGTAAACGTTTCTGTTAACTGTTTTAATTTCTTCTTTCGATGCAGAAATTTCGCATGTTAAGCATGCGAAGTAAGTGGTTTGCGAGGAGCTGAGACAATTGGTATGTGCGCTTACTTTTATATAGAGTAGAGTAAGTGGAATAAGAAGAATTTTCTTCTTCAATTCAGTTCAGTTCTCTATGGGCATGTGGGAGTATATATATGTATGTGTATTACATGCACGATATATTACACGTAAATATAGTAATTTTTACTAACTATAAACTACTATATTACAGATCCTTTAGTATGTCTTATAATACCTGTTTACTTCTAGCAAAAGTTAGCCATTTCTGGCCTTCAATAATACAAAGGTATATTAAAATATTTTAATTTTATTCAACATATAATTTTCTCTCTCGAATTAAATGAAGGCCTTCTTCTTCACATTAGCATTTCTTTCATTAATCTCATTATAAATTTCACATTTCAGTTTTATTAAAATAAATATATATAAACAAAAAAGTTGCTCATATTCTTCTACATTATTATTAGCCCCTGCCTAAAACATATTTTTCCGCTCGTTTAGTTTGCCCTTGGCGAACTCTCACACCTCACTGAAGGTCATTTCAAAGCTATGCAAATTTCATTGCTATGATCTATTGTGAGTCGAGCTGGGGATGTGGCCCCCAGCCATTGACCTTTTCTTTTCGAACTAATTTTTGGTTGGGCACAGGCCTGCTCCACTATGGAATCGCTCTATGCTGTTCTCTGTTTTGCTTTTGCTATCATTTCAGCATTTTTTTTTTCCATTAAATTCAACGCACAGCGCTCTCGGCAGGCAGGTAACAGTCGTTGACAGCAGCGCCACGCCCCCACGGAAGTCCTTTGTTTTAAGGCGTAAAACTTTGCTAATTACTGAGAAAATTTTCACAATGTTCCAAGTTGAACGTAGTTTTCTCTTTTTTTTTTCATTTCGTATTTCGTTTGCTGTTACACAATTTTTTTTTAGGCACTGTTTGTTTTAGTTGCAAATAGGGGAACGTAGGGGCCAAATGTGAGGACCCCTATAATGAGAGATACATATATTGTGTATGTGCATGTGTGTGTGTATATATTTGTATAGCTCTGTGTAAAGTGCTTAAGCACTGAGCAAGTGTACGACTTCAATAAAAGGCCTCGATTCGTTAATTGAAAGGCGAAACATCAGGACAAATAAGCTGCTCTTACATTACCAAATTAATGAAAGGGCAAAAGATACACAGAAAGACAGAAAGAGTGAATGCACCTCTTTCCCTCTCTCTCACTCTATATTCATATATATATGTTTCATAATTTGTAAAAATGAATTCGGTAAACATGTTTGCCTCGCTGCCAATTAAGCAGCTTGGCAGTTAAATCAAGCAGCAATTAATTGACAGTGCGTATACTTAATAAAAATGATGAAAATACATTTGGCATCAACTGTGTCGCTGAAATTGAAGTTTGGTCTTGGCACGACTTTCACATTCAAGAATCTCTATATATACATATTTAATTAAAGAGCTGCTCCATAATTGTTTTCAAGCACTTTAAAACTTTAATGCAAGTTGGGGTTTTGTGTAAGCGTTGCGCATACGCCGCGTTGTGCGCGGTCAGCAGACGCAGCGACGCTTCCTTATTAGCTGCCGCTGCTGCTGCTGCCGCTGCTGCTGCCCAGCCTCAAGTTTTTTGCTTGTTCGTGCAGTTTTCACATCGTCAAAGGATAAGCTATACATAGCCCAAGGGGAAATCTGTATTTGTGCTAGTGTGTGTGTGTGAGTGGGCGTATGGGCGTGGCTGGTACGTCGCTTGCATTCAAAAGCGCACAAATCGCATTTTCTTGAGAGAAAATGTTGCTTCATTTGTGCAGATCGTCGAATTGTGTAGAAAAATGTTTGAAAGGAATTCACTCTGTATGTGTGT